ATTTAGTTACTCGCCAGCAAATTTAAAATTTGTAAGATGCATTATACAGAAATAGCAAAGCCACACAACACAGAGGAGTCTTTTAGAATATTTAACTTAGTATACTTTTATCTTTATTTTTTTTTGCAAAACACTTGAATACCGATAAAATAAATTAAATATTGTTCAGACATGTACACAGAGACCACTTAATATTAATATTTGATACATGGTCTTGTAACTACTACCGATTCCTACAAATTGAATTCCCTTCAATCCAAAAGAGCTGACTAAAAGCCCTTCCCACCTGGCTGGGTGTGGTGACGCAGGCCTGTAATCCCAGCACTTGGGAGGCTGAGGCAGGAAGATTGCCTCAAGTTCAAGCAAAGCGTGGGGTACATAGTGAGATCCTGTCTCAAAAAAAGAAACTCTTGCACCTTTCTGAGTATTATGTCTAAAAGGACTTATGAGTCATAATTTGAAAAGATAAAAAGATCAAAGATCACTGCTATTCTTAAAATGAACCATGCCTATTTATTTGTGTAGGAGATCTGGAGACAGGAGAGAGTAGTAGGAAAGCAACAAATTTTTAAAGAATATCAGGGTACAGTAGGTGTGATGGTGGATTTCTGTAATCCCAGCACTTGGGAAGCTGAGGCAGAAGGATAACCACAACTTCAAGGCCAGCCTGGGCCACATAGTGAGTTCAAGGCAGCCTGAACTGCAATGCAAGATCCAGCCTCAAAAAAGCCAAAAAAAAAAAAAAAAAAAATTAGAGGAACAGATAAATTTAAAAAGAATGAAAATGTGCTGCAGATACAGCTCAATGGCAGAGCACTTGCTTACCATGAATGAAGCCTTGGGTTCAATACCAGCATAAAAACAAAAAAATTTAAAAGTGTACTCAGTGACTCTGCATCTTCAGTAAAAAGAAAAATAACAGCAACCATTTTCTGGTCAAGGATTATAATAAGTTAATACCTTGCCAAATGAAGAATTACTTTCCAACATTGTTTCTCCTACAATAAAAATCTTTCTGACAGCTGTAAAATATTTTTCTTATGAACAAGAGAGAATGTCTTACATAATGGCTGTTAAGGGCAAGATTATTATTTTTAGGATAGCTAGTTTCATACTGTTTAACCATGAGTCTGCACGATCACACACACACATAAATGGGTGAAAAAAGCAAACAGATTTATATCTGATAACATTCCTACCTTGGACCAAGTTTTGCTTCAATGTGAGGGACATCTATGGCTGAACAAAGGAGAGAAAACTTAATAGTCAAGGCAGGATCATGGATATTATAGTAGGAATGGAAAGGGAACATAGGAAGTGAAGAAACAATGAATGTTGGAATTTTATTTTATAATTTTTGGGGTACCAGGGATCGAACTCAGGACCTTGTGCTTGCCAGGCAGGCACTGTGATGCTGAGCTACATCCCTGGCTCCAATGTTGGAATTTTAAAGCTAGAAATATTATGTATGCTACCAAAAGGTGAATTGCAACACTGAAAATAAAGAGTGGTACAAGAAGGAACATATTTTGGTTACTTGAGGGAATAAAAGTATCTGTCTTTTGAGCGAACAGTGGTATTTGGTACCCAAAAGAAAACAAGGTAGATTGTGTCTCCTATAGTGCCAGCTACTCGGGAGGCTGAGGCATGAGGACTGTTTGATCCTAGGAGTTCAAGATCAGCCTGGGCAATACAATAAGACACCATCTCCAAACAAACAAACAAGCAAACACCAAAACCCATATTATCATCCAGAAACTGAAAGGCAGAAAAAGTTTGTAGAGTTCAAAGTAGACAAAAATAATAATGTCCCACATAGAGTCCAGCTGTACCACCTCAGAAATTAATAGAACTCAGTTTCTATTTAATACAGACAAAATAGACCCCTGAACCTCAATGTATACTAAGAAAGCCCAGATTCTGTTTCTAATAAAGGATATAATGACTGATTTTCTGAATTACCTTCCTGCCATCATTGTCTTTTCGTTTTTACGGTACTGGGGATCAGACCCAGGACCACATGCATACCAGGCAAGAGCTCTACTGCTGAGCTACATCTCCAGCCCTTCCCATTTTTAATTTTGAGACACATGGGCTGGGGATTTAGCTCAGAGGTTCCACCACCTTCCTCCCAAGCACAGGGTCCCAAGTTCGATCCCAGGTACCTCCCCCCAAAAAAACAGACAGTCTTGCTAATTGCCAAGACTAGTGACAAACTTCTAACCCTCTTGTATCAGCTTCCTGAGTAGCTGGGAATGTGGACATGTAACACCATGTCTGGCTCAATCATCCATTTTTTTTTTAAAACTCCTATATGCCCAATACTAGATTCCAGGTGGCTAAAAGCCTCTGATGTAGAAGCATTTGGTACCTGTTCAATGAAATGGCAAACAGACCATTGCCACACTTTGCAAGATGACTTAACTGGATAGCTTCAGAGGTGAAAAGCACCCAAATTCCCACACAAAGCCTGTTAAATCAGACAAGGAATCTTGACCCAATTTCACTGTTAATGTTCTTTTTCTGAACCTCTTAGGGAATAAAACAAAAAAGCCATTTTATTTTTGTACCTAAATAAGGCTATTTCCCAGTGATAAAATACACTCTGAGAAAGAAAATCAAGTTTTATAAAGTCATCTAAACCATAGAGGCCGTTATCTGTTTAGAGTCTAATTACAAACTGATACTAATATCTGCTACCTGTGATTGAATTGTGACTTTCTACCATACTACATTTTTTCACAATTCCTTTGCGATCAATTGTACAGAAGATGAAAACTTGTATTAAATTTATACACAAAAAAGATTTCCATGCATTACGGTGTGAAATTGAAGGTAGCTATGTATTCAAAAACTACCCATTGAGATGGCACCTTCAAAGGAATTGCTGTGCCCACTACTGGTGAAAACTGTCATGCAATGTCACAAATTTGTCCCAGATAAAAAGTATCAATATAACTTTTGCTTTAAAAAGACTACTTTGGGGGGCCAAGGATTTAGCTCAGTGGTTTTGCCACCTGCTGCGCAAGAACAAGGACCCGAGTTCGATCCCCGGTATCAAAAAAAAAAAAGACTACTTTGGGGTAATTTTCATACATGCAACTGTGGAATGATAGTAGGAATCACTGGAATAATAATAACATTAGAAAGTAGGTTACTTTACAGGACTTGAGTCAGGAGCTCATTTACACAAGGGTATGCATTCAATTAAGTATGTATTGGGGTTATGTCTGAATAAATTGCTTATGGAGCTCAGCCAGTGAAGTTCTATATTTAGCAAATGAAATCATTTTATCCACATGCAGATTGACAAAGATTTGGAAAATTACTCAAGATGTATTCATGTTGTAAAAATTTACCTGCTGGTATTAGCCTCACTTTCCAATTAGGTTAATGACACTGTCTATTTGGTACTTTGTGTATGAAATGGAAACAGCAAGCAAAGGAAAAATAAAGAATTCAGTGATACCCTGGTAGCCATTAAAAATGGAGTTTTGAGGGGCAGTGTACTATTTTGTACAATTCTATACCAGGCAGTGGTTACTCTATCGTTATAGCTGGTGAATCTGTAATGTATTATGAACCAGCTGGGCTAATCTGGAAATCATGTATCATTGAATTCAATAATATTATGAACAAAGGTAGAAGATTCACCCCCCCCCCTTTTCTGGTACCAGGGATCGAACTCGGGTCCTTGCGCTTGTGTAGCAGGTGTCGAAACCACTGAGCTAAATCCCTGGGCCAAAATCCCCTTTTTGAGTTCTATAAAAAAGGGAAAAGAAAAGGTGATAATAGTAAAACATAATACAGGTGTAGAAATAAGGCTGGATGACCAATTTTATGAGTGAAAATGTTATTTCAAATTCTTGCTTCATGAGAAAGTATTCTAAAAGCAGTGTAGCCAGCATACAATCACAATGCTGCAGAACACTGAATAAGCACGAGCTTTGTAAAAACCACAGGGCAGAGACTGGGATGGTAAAGTGTTACAATTCAGAAAGATTCCAAAAGAGCAGGAATAGAGTGTTTCCCCACAGCGGGGACACTGGTGGAGGTAGCCCACTCATGGTGTTAAGAACACCGGAATGGAGACATTTTAGTTCAAAGTAGCTATTTTCATGGACTTATTTTGGTAAACTGCAGCTAGCTTCACAAATCCCAAAAGTCCTGTTAATCAACATTGGTGATTAAAGTTTAGGTTATTAAAAAGTTATTTAATATGTCATAGGTGGTTCAAAGGCTTTTGGTAAGTGTGCATTGGAGGAATGGATAGATGGAAAAAGGGCCCTAAGATTTCATCCATTAAATCTTGTAAGGAAACAATTTCTAGTGGGAGCTAAGGCCTAAAATCTAATTTCACAAGGTGTATTCTTGATCTAATACTAGTAGATATCTTATTGAAGCAGCTGAAGCAATAAACAATCACTTTTATTCTCATATAAGAAACCTTAGGCTCAAAAAAATACATGTTTTAAAACGAACTCTAAGGCACACAAAATACTAAAACAAGTCAACAAATTACCCTATTTTACATATTCAGTAAGCAGAAATCTACTTGTACAAGATGGTCTATCAATGGACATATATTTACAATCCCTTCATATTCCTTTACTTGGATAAGTCAAAAGCTTTAAACTGATATTTGCACCATATATATTATTTTAATAAGTTAGGAGTTTTTCTTTAGCCTTGCATTTGCACCACAGTGATGAGTGTTAGCAGTTGTGGTTTCCAAGGTCCTGAGTTCAAGAAGCACCATTGAGGTTTCTATACTCCCGAAGAATCTAACACTTTGAATGCTATAGCACCTCTGCATTTTAACAGAATCAAGTATTTGATTGAA